ATGCGAAAATTACTCTGTTTTTTAGAATTATATTATCGATCGTAAAATCATTAATCTCTTTCATGAGAAATCTGAGCATGATATTAAATTCGATCGAGTGCCTTTCGTTTCGTTCGAATGTCAAGGGATGTTCATTTATTTGAGAATGTTAATGCCGTTCTTGATACTGTTGTTTGTATGATCAGCAATAAACTGGTCAAACCTGAACTGGACCATTTCCAGCCATCGACATATACCTAGATACAAGGCGTTCGTTTGCCCCCAGTTCTCACCCTCGAGCTAACAGGAGGTGTGAAAATCTGTAACGAGAGACCAAACACGAATTCACGCCTATAATGAACGCACATCTAGAAATCTCTCCTTGAAGCTGCTCCTCTTTCGCACATTATGTAATTTAGTATAATAATGATTTCTTTTAAGTGTTCGTTTAATTACATTAAAAACATTAAGTAATAGTAATAATAAGAAATATTAATGAAAAATAATAACTTCCGTAAAGAAAAATTAGCAATATAATTATGCAAAAAACAATCTTTCTCTCTATTATTATTACATTTTTCTATTAATCCAGATGTATATCTTTCTGTATAAACGCCGAGTTTCGTGCAACTCGGAACGGAATTACGTAAAAATACATGAGGTGTCCCAGATTTTTGCCACGCGATTCTTGATCGAGTTTCGGTCCTTGAACGAGTAGACACGCGTTCTTAACGAAAATTTATATCGGTGCACCTAGATTATCCTTTCCTCAGCGAAAACTTGCATCATGGCATCTACATTATCAAAGTGTCAGAAGTCATTTTATTCTACGTCGCGTGCTAACTGGCGAGTTGGGAGCTCGGGGCCAAGATTAAATGTCCAAAGCGCGTTTCTCTTAAATACACGCGATAACCTTTCGAAATTACACAGACACGTCAACATTCACCCCACGTGATATTTTCATTATTTTCACAAAGTGATATCTATCGTATTACGATGTATCATATCGTAAAGACAATATACGATAAAAAATTCCGATAATTGTGCTATTGTTATCTATCTTTTTTCAGAAGCCCAAGGTACGAGAAGTCGGTCATTTATTGTCTTGCCTATCGATACAAAGAAAGAAGGGGAAAAAAGACAGAAAGCTAGCGGAATGCAACGATTAACCTTTTGTTACGAAGAACCATTATACGTAATGGCATTCGTATGTTCATTATGTACAAAAAATCAGTGCAACTGCTCAAAAATTTTCCATCTAATTGTAAGATAATGCAAGGTAATAACAGTAACGCAATCATCACACGACATAAACATCTAATGTTATCGGTCTACGATAATAATACACGCAAGTGTTAATTACCCAAGTATTAATTATAAGTGTTATTATTATATCAGTGTCTATACTTAAATCTAGTGTTATTGAAAAAACACTGGAAAAAATTGAAATTTTTTCAAAGTGGCTTACCAATACAAAATGTAAATAAAAGGGAGCATTCAACACCGCAACACTAGATGTCTTAAGCGGAAGTGATGTATTTAAAATTATAATATAACGTACATGTTTCGGTCAAGATTTGACCATCATCAGAAACATACAAAAATAAAGATGTCAAAAATAAAAACATAAAATTAAACAATAAAAGCTAGTCAGAAAAGATTGTAAAACGATTTTCAATTCGCTTATGATGCGAGATAACAGAGTAATTTGACAAAACTTTGAAGTTGAACATTATTTAATTGCTAATGAATTATTTTCTATTACACTGGAAAGATATTGGAACAACAAGAAACTGCATTTTCCAACATACATTACTTATAATCGCGAGATTTCTTACACGAATGTGTTGTTCGCTGTAATTATCAGTATCCCCTCCTAGTACTAAATAAGGAAAACCTTATTAATTACGTTACTTTGCGGATTCATCATCCGTATCTAAGTACAACTGTATTCAGGAACATTCAGATAAAAGTAAAGATAAAAGTCGCGATCACGTACTCTCAGTATGAAATTTACATTCACGATTACAACTGATCGAGTGATAATATTATGAAGAGAACACGGTTCAGAAAACAGATATCTGAGCGATGATGAAAAATTCTGTTGCGTGCTCATTTCTTTCTATTTTTTTTTCTAATTATATATCAATATCGTTTATCAGTATTACAAGGCAGAGACAAGCGAACCAATTTTTGTTTGATGTGAAAGGAGCAAAGTGGTTCGACCGGAAATGACACGTGTCGATAGAAGGGATCGTTGAGTCTACGGAAGTGAGATACGCGCGCCAGTGCAAGATTGTTCGATTACACTCGACTGTAAGTACATGTTTTGTCCCAATTGACGAGGTGTTACATGAGTGCGTAATATACCGTGAACATGTTGCTTTCAATTCTATTGTTGTGCTCGAGCACGACTGTACGGACAATAAATGGTTTCAACGTGCAGAGAATCTAAGTACTTCTTTCTTATTTCATTACTTTAATTTTATCACTTTATCGTTAGATTTATCTAAATACATGAGACACTCTGTGAATATGCAGCGGGATATATACATCGAGAGAAGAGAATGTACAAGAGAATGTACCATATTTTAATAAATATTTATTTATACGTAATACTAGCTAAATATTTATTAAATGTGAACATATATTTATTTAGTACAAGAACTATTACAAAATTTTTAGTACTTATTTTCAAAAAAATATTAAGAATTTGATAAAAATTTTACAGATTGTTCCATTATATCCGAGTGTCTATTAACGAATTTGATTGGAGACACTCAGTGCGCAGTGATGCACATTAAAGCCATCGTACACAAATTAACGTAAAAATATGTGTTTAAAATAAATATAACAGCAGATTACAGAAACCATGAAATCCTTAATATATTTAATTGTGCTTTTAAATAAAATATGCATTTTATAATTTCAAATTTTTACATTTTACTTTTACGCAGATTAAATCAGTGTGTATAATGGCTTTAAAATGGACTTGTACGTTCAACTGAATTCGCTATATGTAAAATTTGAGCACAATTCTTTTATTGGTTTAAAAATTGTTTAATTTTTTGCTTATTTTTATTCTTGTGAAAATCTTCTCTCTCGCATTTTATAATATTTATCTGCAAATTTCATGAGAAAGTAATATAAGAATTAAATCAAATATTACACATATATACTAACAAAACAATAATAAATATCTGTGCAAAAGTTTATTTGAATCCATTTCCTCGTTTAAAAGTTATTGACCTGCAGTAAAAAATATATTATATTTGGTTTATTTTACTGCATAAAACTTTTATAAGCAATTATCTATTGCTTTGTTTGCAGTTGGCAGAACATATTTCAAAATTTTTTTAATGGAATTGGCTGATTTAGCTAATTTTTGCTGATTGTGGCTGATTTTTGGCCGATTATTTGATACATTTTTACCTAATATTGTTATGGACAAAACATTATTAATTTAATTTAACTATCATTTTTTATTTAATAAATAAATATTTACCATAAAATAAATGTTAAGTTAGTACTATATATAATATATTCAAATAAATATTTATTAAAACATAGCATGTTTTTCTCAGTATATGCTATGAAAACAACTTCTCGTTTTAAATAACAAAGAAAGATAGGATAAAAATGGATTAATTTGCATAACTGTGAAATGTATCCTACATCATATTACATTACATTCTACATTTATAATCAATACACTTTAACAATATACATATTGTAAACAAATTTATTGGCTAGTATATTTATAAAAATCATTTTTTAATAAAATTTTTGAACATTGTCGAATTTTATACAGAAGGATGTGGCCGACAAGGCGCATTGCTTTAAAAAAATCGCAATAAAGACCAAAATTAAGTCAATATATGTATTTTTTAATTCAGACGATGAATTTTCACATACCACATTGTTAATGGCAAATAATATATATTATATAATTGTTGATAAAATATAAGAAGTCCGCCTTTTGACCTCTGAATGCTGACTAATTCGACTCATGTAGACTCATTAAAGCTTCGAACCTTCGATAGATTGCACCGTTTTTCTCCGACACAAAAAAGAAAGAAAGGGGGGAAAAAGGGAAGAAAAGATCGTGGTAAAAGTTACACGGCAAAAGTTGCTTCATCAGGCGTTTCCTACATTTGGAACTAATAACAAACCCGTCGTGTCACGGGGTGGTCGCAGAGGAAGGAAGGGATGAAATATGACCTATTTTCGTCACTCTCCGGATTGAAAGTATTTCCGACATCCGAGGGTTAAGCTAAGACGAGAAAATGTCGAACGGGAAACGAGCACGGGGAGAGGATGAAAAACGGGGCGTTTGGTTCGTCGTCGCCATCGCCATCGTCGTCGTCGCCGTCGTCGTCGTCGCCGTCGTCGTCGTCGTCGTCGCCGTCGCCGTCGTCGTCGTCGTCGTCGTCGTCGTCGTGGCTTGCTCATGCTATAACGTGAGCTGACGTATGTCGATATATGTAGAGGCGTCGCGTGTTTCGGTCCAGCGCCGAGTCTCCTCGCGACCATAATTCGATATCTCTTGGAAAATCCCTCTATCGCGTGCTTTACAACCCATACAAAGCCCGAATTGAATGTTAGCCTAAGACGAACGACCGCCTTGTAAATATCACGTGGTCGCTCCTTCTATGACTGCGAGCGCTATGTATACAGTACACGTAACTAGAATTGCGAACTCTGTGATTAAAAGCAATTTCGTGTAAATAAGCTTCTCCTTAACGACAATGTTAATTACTGTAGAAACAGAAGAGTAAATTTGACTTGACAGTAGATACATTAAAAAAAAATATACTAAATTTTAATAAATATTTGTTTAAATAGTTCTGAGTG